GAAGAACTGAGTACTGGGAGAGGGTGGCCCACCCAGAAGGGCATTTGTGGTGGGGGCATGATCTTGGCTTCCTTCAGTTGCCTGGGAGTCCTCCAGGACTCAAAGTCACCCTCTACTGGTCTGAACTCTCAAGATTCCTCAGGACTGCAAGTGTTTTGAAAAGATCTTCTTACCCCGACCCTTCTCACTTCACCCCTCAGCTCTCCCCATGGTCAAGGACCCAAGTGTGAGCAACCTCAAGATGGTGGTGAGGGAGGCTTTCAAGCACCAACTTCAATACTGCCTTCTTTAAAGCATATTTTGGGCTTCAGAGGGGCTGTCTTCAGCTATTTCAAACCTATTTGGCAGTACTTCTGGTCCTTCAAATGTATTGTCGAAACTCAGAGAAATGTGGCCTTTCCAGACAAACTCTAGCAACAGCTCTGTTCACCCCCTGAAATGGCTGCTAAAAATCAGATGACCCTTGCAGTCAGAAAGAAAGAAAGAAAATTACTAAAGGGGCCTCAGTCCCAATCTCTAACCACCTTTAGAAAGCCTGGGGCCTTGCGTTGTGGCCTTTGGAATCTCAAAGGGTTGCCTTAGGGTTGTCTTAGGGTGTCTTAGGCCCCAGTGTGAATAAAACAAACAACAATAAAAAACCATCTGTGAAATCTAAATTCAAACTTTCTTGTGACCCAAGAAGTCAATTTTTTGCATTCATGGCCCCAGTCAAGACAGGACAATATACATACACACATGCACACACACTCACACACACAGAGTAGATCTATAGATATAGATATAATATTTTAAGAAAGAAAAAAACTACCTGGGTTCGGTGGCTCAGCCTGTAATCCCGCGCCTTTTGGAAGGCTGAGGTAAGTGGATTGCTGAGCCCGCGGGTTCGAGACCCGCTTGGGCGGCGAGACCTTATTTTTACCATAAATCAAAAAATCAGCCGGGCGTGGTAGCGCACGCCTGTAATTCCGGCTACTCGGAAGGCTGAGGCGGAAGGATCGCCGGAGCCCAGCAGGTCGAGGCTGCGGTGGCCGGGAGCGGCCACTGCACTCCAGTCTGGGCGACAGAGTGAGACTCCAACTCAAAAAAAAAAAAAAAAAAAAAAAAGGATCCAAAAACTCTGTATAGAAATATGCAGATGCCCAGAAAATACCTAGGGTCGTTGAATCCATGAATACTTGTTACCCTTAAAAGTACGTAAAAAATATTTGGCAACCTCAAAACACCAGGCCCCTATCAGAAAAGAAAGACAAACAGAAGTTTTAGGATTGCAGGGTACATCTTAGGGCGATAGTTACATACAAATATGGCGATAAGATCCTTTGGGTCCTGGAATCTGTCCTTTGTTGTCCCAAGGAACCCAACGAACTTGTAGGTCCTTATTCTCATTTACAACTATCTAGAAGACCAGAAGGTTGCTGAGAATCTATAATGACTAATTTGTCATATCTAAGAAGCCTGTAGCCCTAAAGAATTTGTGTAAATCGAATCCCAGATTCCAGATTAGCCCTTATAATGTGTCCATGGAGAATTATTGGATTGGCGACCCCTGTAACCCAGATTCTTTTTGTTCTCAGTAAGTCTCCCGGAAGCTACCGTGTGACGTGGATGTACAAACTCTTATATACCAATACTCATAAGCCCAAAAGGTAAGAAGTGCCATGGAATTCAAGATTGC